TTGTTGTAAAGTTTCAAATATATAAGAAAGGTTACATTCACCTATGATATAAAGTTCAGAAGAATTTTATATGATTTAACATCATCATCATCCTAACTACTAACTACTTTGATTATATCATGTTGACAGATTTCAAGAGGAGATAATGAGATGAAAAAGAAGCGTGATGTGATAAAAACGTTTAATTGTTTATCCTTTTCTTCCTTGTTTGGATGACTTAATTCCAGTATACTATTGTCAAACTCTATGAAATTTATTTTTACTATTTTTAATATTTTTCACACATTTTATCGGGTTTGGAACAAATTTATTTTTACAGTCAATATTTCTCCATAATTTCAATAAGAATTAAATGCTAAATATATGAATATAACTGTCAAAGAATGGTTGTCTCTTCTCAAGTTACCTGAAGGAAAAATATTTCTAAAAAGAAGATTATGTGCCTAATTTCAATAACTTGTATTAGAATAGGTACTACCACATCCGATTTCAAATATAAAAGTAAGATAAAAAGTTTACTTCCGTTCTAAATATAAAACTTCAATAGATAAAATTAAAAAGGATATATTTTAAGAAAATTAATACATATTTGTTACAAATAATTAACTTAACTAATTTTTTTAATCTATCTGAATTATTTACCTACTTTTTAAATTAAGAAACGGAGGTAGCAGTTTTAATTTATTTGCTTGAGTTTTTTAAATACTTATTATATTGAATATTGTAATTTATTATGCGCATGGATCCTTGCGGGACTAATCAATTACAACTTTCAAAAGACATTTGTAACAAAAAAAAAAAAAAAAAAAATCTCTTTCAAAAGACATTTATGGAGCATACCAGCCAACGGTTTAAGGTACGCTTATGCGACACATAGATTATAATTTTAATTAATATAAAATATACTACCTCCGGTCCTAATTATAGGAGGTACTCTTCTGATTCTAAATATAAAACCCTTATACTAATGTGTATAAGGGTCTTAATATAAGGGTCTTATATTTAGGACTGGAGGAGTAGTTGACTAATTTGAGGAGATTAAGGAAATGAGTTGAGTTAGTTATTTGTCCTAAATAGATGTTATCTTTTCTAAAATATCCTTGCTAATCAAATGCATTGGCTAGAACTATTATTGTTAGAATGATTACTTTAGAAAAAATATATAAATATAAGAGACAAAGTGGATTATGATTTTATATTTAGGATCAAAATAAAAATCAAACAAAATCTTATACTACTCCGATCCTATTTATAACAGCTAGTTGATTAATTTGAGGAGATTAAGGAAAGAAGTTAAGTTAGTTATTTGTAATAAATATGTGTTGTCTTTCCTAAAATATCTTTACTAATCAAGTGTATTGGTTAGAACTATTATTATTAGAAGAACTATATTGGGAAAAAATATATAAATATAAAAGATAAAGGAGATTTGGAGTCTTATATTTAGGATCAAAATAAAAGTCAAAGAAGGTTTATATTAAAGACCGGAGGTAGTATAATTCATAATACTTCCCCGGTCCTTAATATAGGACCCAATTGTTGAGTTGGTTTTGATTTTAAATATAATACTCCTCCGGTCCTAATTATAAGACCCAATTGACTTATTTGAGGAGATTAAAGAAGTAAGTTAAGTTGGTTATTTATAATAAATAAGTGTTATCATTCCTAAAATATTCTTGCTAATTAAGTATATTGGCTAAAACTATCATTATTAGAAGGATTATCTTGGAAAAAATGCATAAATATAAGAGACAAAATGGATTGGGGTCTTATAATAAGGACCGGAGGAGTATCTATTTATCATATTTATCAATTTTATCTAAATTACCCCTATGAATACTCCCTCAACCATAATCAAGTAGAAGAAAATGGGGTATTAAGAAAGATGATCATGGTATTTTAGGAAAAACATGTCACATTTTATAATTAACTAACTTACATAACTTTCTTAATTTAATCAAATTAGTTAAATGGGTTTTATATTAAGTATCGGAAGAGTATTATTTACATTTATAATTGACAAATAATTCCGTGACTTTTCTTGTATGAGTTCTACATTTATATACTTTGTTCTGGTTACAATAGTCTCATAATCTTTTCCGATCTTTCAGTTTCTGTGTAAAATGAGATACACAGTGCATAATAATAAGCCCCACTTATTAAATAAAATCTAGTGCCATGTCTTTTTCTTTTCAGTTGTAAACTACATAATTAGAGAAAATATGAAATGTTTGTAAAATGACCAACGTCAGAATTGGTAACAAGTCAATTCAGATACCATAATTTAAGTCAATTTTTCAGCCTTTTATTCATACGCAATAAATTAGTTAAAGTATAATAGTGAAAAAGTGGATCAAAAGCCTTTGAGATTTGGATTTTGGTTTGCGGACAAACCATTTATTTATTCATTTTATAATTGCTGTCTACGGAATGACCAAATCACCAAACCATATAATTTGACTTGAAATTTAAGGCACAGAGATAAGACAACGTTTGGGGTCGGCCGATATATCAGGGTAATTTCCATAGCTCAACAATAAGCGGTTACATCACAAGACAAACACGTCCTCTACAGATATACAACTGATTATTACTCCTCTGATTCTTAATATAAGACTTAATTGTTAAGTTAACTTTGTTTCTAAATATAAGACTTATTTCTCATATTTATCAATTTTTTTAAGTTACCCTTATGGATACTTCCTCAACTATAATCAAGTAAGTAAGGGAGGAAGGATATTAAGAAAGATAATTATGATATTTTAGGAAAAACATCTCATATTTCTTATAATTAACTAACTTACCTAACTTTCTTAATCTAATCAAATTAATTAAATAGGTCTTATATTAAGAACAGAAAGAGTATTAAATTAGCAATACTAATTAATTATTAATTGTCACTAAGACGTATTTCGGGCAGCTTCACCTACGCCCCCATTAATTATTGTACGTTGTACGTCTCTAATTTTTTTAAGCACGATAGTATGGTTGCGTATTACTTTATTGGAGTAGAAACATTCCACTTAATTATTTTGACTTGTGAAATGTGAAGGGTTTGGTAGAGTCTAATTTTCCATTAAATTTATGCAGAGGAAAATGTGAACAAATTATTCCCTTTTAGTTGGCATGAATCAAATTATATGTACTTACCATTTCCCATGAGATGTATGAAAATAATGATTTTTAAATAAAAATATGTTGTTATTTACAACAAGTCGCACTAAAATAAAATTTAGGCAGTTAAACCCACACACAAATATTATACATTTATTTTTTTTATTTTTTTAATCCAAATTGAAGTACTTAATTTTTGAATACTGTTTAATAAATCATGAATGATGTGATTTATCTTGTTGTGTAATTTTGCTAATGAATATGAAAAATACAATCCTAAATATAAGATTTAGTAAATAAGTTTATTTTTACTCTAAAAATAATACCACTTCCGGTCTTTAATATAAGTGCTAGTTGACTGATTTAAGTAAATTAAGAAAACTAGCTAAGTTAATTATTTGTAATAAATAAATATTGCTTTTTTAAAATATCTTTGCTAATCAAATATATTGTCTAGAATTACTATTATTATAAGGATTATTTAAAAAAAAAGATAAATATAAGGGACAAAATAGATTAAAATCTTATATTTAAGATCAAAATAAAAATCAAATAAATTTTTATATCAGTGACCGGAGCTAATATTTAATTCATTTTATTGAACAAGAACTATGAGATGATTGTCATTGAGCTACGAGATGTACGATCCGGAATTAACGACGGTGAAAAAACAACAGGGAATTCAGGAAGCTCTCATCCAAACTCATCATATTATGGGTGTTTGGATTATACAAAAAGTGTTTTTAAAAAAATATTTTTAAAATCAAGACAAATTTCTCTATATGTTTTATTTGTATATTATAAAAGTATTTTTAAAATCATCATTTTATTTCTACTTAAACATTCCTTGAATCAATCATGTTTCGAAGACATTGGTTGCTCACTGAATCTTACTGGCAAAGGACGAGGATGAGCAGCAGCAGTAAGAAGCATAAAAATGTAACTACGAGGAGGAGGATAAGAAATCCAGAGACCTATCAAAGATATGAAGAGGATGAATTTGATTATACCTTTCCGATCCACTGCTATTATGTCTATTAAAATTGTGATTTAAAATTTTTTAAAATTTAGCAGTTTTCTCACAATTTTTGAACTGCTTCAAAAAAATTTTCCCCAAATTTATCTCTATATTAGATAGATTAAAACACCAACTCACTAGGTCAGTTTTTCAATTCATTTAGTTAAGTGCTTTTGAAAAGCACTTTTCTGTAAAATGAGACAAACTCCCCAATATATTTACGTCGTATATTTTTAAAAGACTTTTAAAATTATGATTTGATTTTCATCCAAACATCTTTGTTGATTGATTCAATACAGCTGTTACAACTTTGGTTAAACGGTGAAGTTTAAATGCTTTTCATGCAAAAAAAAAAAAGGCTTTCTTACATATTTTTATATTAAATTAAATAAATGTAACTGTTGTTGGTCTCCTCAAACTCTCAGAGAGAACTGTAACTATCTATCGACCTTTCAAGTCAAATTTTCTTAAAGAAGAAATGGACTACTTCATCAATATATAAACATCAATAATCAAACAAATAATAAACATGTAAAAGTTGAATTATATGCTTGATGTAATGCTATTACTAATTTTTTTTATTCCAATAAATCTATAATATAACACAAAATTTTTATTATATTTTATGAGCTCAAGAACAGTGATTTATTTATTTTGTTAATATTATTTTGTCATCTTCTTCATTAACTCCCGGGAAATCTAGTAATAATGGAGATTTTCAAACGTATTTGTGGCACCCAACCCACATCCACCCACCTAACCCCCACCCAGCCCCCATCTCCTTTCCATCTGATCTAACAAATTCCAAGCAAGTAAATATTGTACAGCTAGCCACAATGTGGACGATGGTTTACCAAGAAGGCAACTAACTACAACGCCAGCAATGCTGCTGATCTAACTACCCTTAGCCACGTGATCTTCTCACCATCTCCTCTCTCTCTTTCCCCATCGCCCGCCTCTTTCTATATATACCCCTCTCTTGTTGTTCTCATATTCTCGTTTTCCCCCTCTTTTTTCTGGCCGATTTCAGCAACCGATTGATTCGGGTATGTTTCTGATATACCCATTTATCTGTTATTGTTGACTGACTTCTGAACTGCTGCAATTCGTCAGTTTCTTATAGTAGATCTCGGTTTTGTGATTTACTCGGTCGTTTCTTTAATGTGAATTATCGTTTTCCTACTTGGATTTTTGGCGTTTTCGATTCGCAGTGAAATGGGGATGGCTTATTTTTGTAGCTTTGTTGGTTGAATTAATGATATCTGGGATTTTAAGGGTATGCTATTGGTGGGTGTGAGATCAGTCGGAATTTCAGTTTTCATTTGACAATTTGAAGTTTTGAGGTTTATGCTAATCTCATATGGCTTCCATCCTGTGCATTGGATCGATTTGGTTCTGCCGTTTCAGTAGTGATAGAGATCCAGCAGGCTGCGCTTTCTTGCAATTAAGTTTGGCAAATGTCATTATAGTTTAGCATTGTTTGCCAGCTTTCGGACTTGTCAGGGTGGTCGATCTGTTTTGTTTGCTGGTTGATATTTTGTCTGGTTCGTTTATAGTGCACTTTTGGTGTTCCTTTGTGAGTTAATTGCGAAAGTGAGAAAGGTCCCGCTAATGAGTCATGTTTTTCCTTCGTTAATGTCATTGTGAAGTCGAATCTCCTTTATGAGTGCTGTCGTCTTCCCTTGTTGATAAATTTGCTCTTCTCGTTTCTTCTGCCATGAATTTGAGTAGCATTACTAGATGGGTTTGCCTACATTTGAATCTAATTGGTCTATTTGATTTCATTACATCACTAGTCCTCTTATCCTTGTAATACATTTATTTTCTTCGGGGAATTCATTCCCTTGAAGTAATATGTTGCTTGAAATAGCTTATTGATGTTTGATTACGGACAAAGATGCTAAACTCTGTTGGTGACTACCAACAGAAGAAGCATTTCCAATTTAAGATTTTATTTTTTTTAGTTTCATGTGCATGTTGATCTAACATGCGGCATGAACTGTGTTATGTGTTTTTATGTCTTTGGTGGCCCATTATTCTCTTTCATCGTTTCTGCTGCAATCTAGAAATTAACATGCCAATTTGCTATCAGATCCATCGGTTTTGTCACCATGGCAACTGGGCAACTGTTCTCTCGTACAACTCAAGCTCTGTTTTACAACTACAAGCAGCTTCCGATCCAGCGGATGCTTGATTTTGATTTTCTTTGCGGTTTGTATCAAATCCTTTCTGTTCGTTCTGTTTCTATATGAAATATTCTTCTGAATGAATAATAGAAAATAGGAGAACCACCTGATTGTTTGCTTTCAATAGAAATGAAATAAAAGCTTCGGTTTTGTTTTTATAGGAAGGGAAACACCATCAGTTGCTGGAATAATTAATCCTGGTTCAGAAGGATTCCAGAAGCTCTTTTTCGGTCAGGAGGAAATTGCCATCCCAGTGCATGCAAGGTTGGTGTTTATGTTCAATTCCGTCCACATTCTTCCTTCCTCTGCTTGAGTTCGGATTTGGTGATTATATTGTATTGAAGCATTTTTCCCCTTCATTTTTCTTCATTTTAGTGATCCCCTAAGTATTTGCAACTTGACAGTAGATACCAACCATTGGTCATTACTAACATTATCCTTGCTTGTTTTGCAGCATTGAAGCGGCTTGTTCTGCACATCCTACTGCTGATGTCTTCATCAATTTTGCATCATTTAGAAGGTCTGCGATCATTAATTCATTAATTAATTTATTTTTGTTGGTCTAATTTAATTACAAAGTACACTGAAAAAGCATGATCTGCTTGCAGCGCTGCTGCATCATCCATGGCTGCTTTGAAACAGCCAACTATTAGAGTTGTTGCCATTATTGCCGAAGGTGTTCCTGAGGCGGACACTAAGCAATTGATTGCTTTTGCGCGATCAAACAATAAGGTGAGAGGAGAAAAAAGATCAATTCAAATAAATTGTTAAAGATACTAATCTCGAAAAGTGTTTTGTTTTTATTGCTGGCAAAATTAATGTTAGTCCTAATGATATTGTAGGTTGTTATTGGCCCTGCCACTGTTGGAGGCATTCAAGCTGGTGCTTTTAAGATAGGTGATACAGCTGGAACAATTGACAATATCATTCAATGCAAGCTGTACAGGCCTGGATCTGTTGGCTTTGTTTCTAAATCTGTATGTTCTTATTTTTGTTTGTGGTTTTTTCTTTCATCAAAGATAATATTCCTGTGGAATTCCCCATAAGTCTCACCTGCTTTGCATTTAGGAAATGTAAGATTTCTTGGATATCTCAACAAATGTGCACCTTTTACTTTTAGATGTGATGCTTAGTTTATCCATATCTGTGCTGAACCTGGAGGTTAAAAGATTCCGCTACTGCAATATTAATATTAAAAATCTCTTTATGTTTCTTGACATTCACTCGATTTATTCATTGTTTAACTTGCTTCTTGGATGCTTACTGTATTTTAAGACATTAAAATCACCTAGATGAATATACAACAGGACATTAAAAGGATAGAAGATATTTTTGTCAGTTAATCTGTTACTTGTTAAGCTTGTATCCTAAAGTTTTATTTACTTTTCCATCCTACTTAGTTATATTGCAGAGTGGAGATAAAATTCCTGCAGATATATATGATGAATATTGATCTCAATCTCATTGAGGATTTCAGAATGGAAATGATAGTAACATGATAATTAAATGGAAGAGTAGATTATCTATTTATCACCAGAGGAGTGCAGTGCATCATAATAACACAAAGTAGTAGTTTACTTGGATAATAGAACTCTGTACCATTCCTAACTGTTTTTCTCCTTTTTTTTCCTTTTAAAAAAAAGCAAAAAATTAATAATAGTGATCATAGCTACTGTACCTATTGATATGATTTGCATTTCACACACTCAATTCTTTTCATTAAATATCAGAATGCTAAATGGTCTGTTATGCCATAGAAAATTTTCTGAAGTTTCTTGATTTGGTTATTTGGAGCTCAGCTTCATATATTTGCATTGTGTAATCTATACAAAGATTCTTAGAGAAGACAAACTTTCTGAACTGTAGGGTGGGATGTCCAATGAATTATACAGCACAATTGCCCGTGTCACTGATGGAATTTATGAAGGTACTGATTAGGATCTTTTTCTTTTCTTTTTTTTGGGTTTTATCCTTTTGCATTTTTTTTATGCTGATGGTGAGTGTATCTGTTTTGTTTTAGGAATTGCCATTGGAGGGGATGTTTTCCCTGGTTCCACACTTTCTGATCATGTGTTAAGATTTAATAGCATTCGACAGGTAAACTGCTTCTTTTGTCTTGGGGGATTTCTTAGGACATATTGTAACCACAACCTATGATTAGAGTAAAAGAGAATTACTATTTGTCATCAATGACCGGAGTGGATTTGTTTGGAACCTCAGGTTAAAATGATTGTTGTACTTGGAGAACTTGGTGGGCGTGATGAATATTCCCTAGTTGAAGCCCTGAAACAGGGGAAAGTGACTAAACCAGTTTGTGCCTGGGTCAGTGGAACCTGTGCACGACTCTTCAAATCGGAAGTACAATTTGGTCACGCTGTATGTCACTATTCCATTACTTTTGACTGTGTGTCCATCAAAGAGCATTTCTAATACTAAATGGAACCTGTACAAATCAGGGAGCTAAAAGTGGTGGTGAGATGGAGTCTGCTCAAGCAAAGAATCAAGCACTAAAGGACGCAGGAGCTGTTGTTCCCACTTCTTATGAAGCTTTTGAAGGCGTAATAAAGGAAACATTTGAGAAATTGGTTAGTTTACATGTTTTCTTGGGCAATTATTTATCCGTATGGGAGTAGGGAGTTATGCTTCAAAAAAATCTGTAGTTTCCTTGCCTGGCTTTGATCTTACAGTGGGCTTAACAATGCTAGGTTGGAGAAGGAAAGATTACGCCAGTGAAGGAGTTTACTCCTCCACAGATCCCTGAGGACCTTAACTCTGCAATTAAGAGTGGAAAAGTCCGTGCCCCAACTCACATTATTTCCACCATCTCTGATGACCGGGGTGTGTTGGGATTCCTTAATGCTTTAACTTTGAAATGAGTTGTTTGTTACTCAGACTCAAAGGTTTAACTAAATTTCGTATCCAATATTTTCCAAAGGTGAGGAGCCATGCTATGCTGGTGTGCCCATGTCTTCCATTGTCGAAAAGGGTTATGGTGTTGGTGATGTTATCTCTCTTTTGTGGTTCAAACGCAGCCTTCCTCGTTACTGTACAAAATTTATTGAGGTAGGTTAAACAAAACTACGTTTTCCTTGGAACTTTTTAAAGTCAATCTCCATTCTCCTTTCTGTATAGATACTGATATGTGCACAAAATTGTAATGATACTTCCTTGTGAGTTTTGCAATTAGTTACTGCTTTTCAAAGTAAATTAAGGACTTCATCTTCTTGCTTCTCTCTTGCTGATGTATTACTTGGTCAGATCTGCATCATGTTGTGTGCTGACCATGGTCCATGCGTCTCTGGTGCTCACAATACAATAGTGACAGCAAGAGCTGGAAAAGACCTTGTTTCCAGTCTTGTATCAGGTATAGTACATGTATCTGATATTTCTTCTTTTTTTTTTGGACAAATCCGATGCATCAAGCAGGATTTGTTTTGTAATATTTCCACACAACGGGTAATGAACTTCTCAAACAGGTTTGCTTACTATTGGTCCCCGATTTGGTGGTGCCATTGATGATGCTGCCCGTTACTTCAAGGATGCTTATGACAGGGTACAATTCATAGTCTTGGCCAGTGAAGCTGGCACATTTCGAGTTTGATTATCCAACATGATCTCCTAAAACTCTAACATGATGTTCTGTACTATGTGATGTCAGGGTCTTACACCTTATGAGTTTGTGGAAGGCATGAAGAAGAAGGGCATTCGTGTGCCAGGAATTGGGCATAGGTAATGCATCATTTTTTGTTCCTTGCCTAACTTGCATTCAGTTTCTGTCATTATTATTGGAAAAAGCTTAAATGGCTGAAACTTGGTTCTGCTTTGTGAAAAAGGATCAAGAATAGGGACAACAAAGATAAGAGAGTAGAGCTTCTGCAGCGATTTGCTCGCACACATTTTCCCTCTGTGAAATACATGGAATATGCTGTTCAAGTTGAAACCTACACCCTCTCTAAGGCAAATAACCTAGTTCTTAACGTGGATGGTGCAATCGGATCTCTCTTTTTGGATCTCCTTGCTGGTAGTGGGATGTTCACCAAGCAGGAGATTGACGAAATTGTGGAAATTGGCTATCTGAATGGACTCTTTGTGCTGGCTCGCTCCATTGGTCTTATTGGGTAAGTTAAACTTCAATCTTCATTGTTTTAATCTGACCATTTTTTCATGTGTGTGCATGTTGGTTTTGGTAATAATAATAATAATAAGCTGTTTTGGGCGTGAGGAATAAATAATTACAGTTTGATTATAAATTAATGGCCAATATGAATGTGAAATCATTGATGTAAAAATCAAAGATGTATATGACGTTATATTTGACCACGCTCTAAAGGTATGGAGACTAGTAACCCGTCATTTCAAGATTTGGACTTTTATGTCCTTTATGTACTCAAATCTGTTAAACAACCCCACTTCCTTTTGTTGGGTAAGTTACGCTATTTGTGCTTTTTGGTGACAACCAGCAATACAAGAGATGGCTAGACGCTGTTAGGCTGAAAACTTTGATTAGTTATGTTCACGTGAACGCTAATGCACGGCTTGTTTGAATCAACTGAATACTGAATTTCAATTTATCTCCTGCCTATTTACGTGAAACTGAGAGTTTACTATCACACAGTGATTAAGGCTTTGTCCCTCATTCATTGTTCTTGATTGAAATTTCAGGCATACCTTTGACCAAAAGAGACTGAAACAACCACTCTACCGCCACCCATGGGAGGATGTTCTCTACACAAAGTGAGAGGCTTCTGTGGCCATGAGAAATTTATTTGTTCATGCTACAACAAAATAGCAATCTGCTGGGAATTCCTGCATATGCAATATCCAGTAATGATCAAATAATTTTTGTAACTGTTAGAAGAATAGTGTTGTATGATCTCTCCATGAAACCATCTTTTGTGAGTTTTATAAAATACTGGAAAAAGAAATAACTCCTAGTCATTTTTAAAGATATTCTTTTTTCCCTCCTTTCGGGGTGAAGATTCTGAACTGTGTCTGGTGGGTTCAAAGGGAATGATGAGTTGGGGTATCTCTTAGTTAAATTTTGCCAGGTTCGGCTCTTCATAAAGCTTGTATAATATGTGCGCTTAAGTGAACATTACAATTTTTGAATAATTCTGGGTTCTCCACACTTTAAATTTATGCAGGTGAAAGCATCATTTATTTATTCCCGAAGTTGGAAATAATCAAACAAATGATTTGAGCTGGCATACTTGTGTTTGTTAGGTAGTCCTTTGAAAAATGAAGAAGAAGAAAACAATCATAGTACATTAGTACTCGTGTTCGTTCCACCATCACTATTGAAGAAATCCATGCTCGTTTGGTTTGGCAGTTGTGTGGGTTAAGTGTGCAAGCTATTCTTGGTTGAAAAATTAAAAGAATTGGGAGTTTGGATAGATAGAGATCTGAGAAGTTATAATTTTCCCTAATATTGTATTTTATAATTATAATTAATATAGGATATCAAAACTTATAACAAGTTGTATTTTATACAACTCAATTCCTAATATGTTGTGCGATATTCTGCCCACTATGGGAGTCATCACCGAACATTAGTTGAGAGTTGAAAATTCAAGGATCAACTTTTGTTTTTGGGAATAAAAAGCAACATAAAATGCGCAGAAACTAGTTAGCTACTACCTCCGGTTTAATTATAAGAGCTAATTGACTAATTTGGGAAGATTAAGGAAAGAAGTTAAGTTAGTTTTTTGTCATAAATAGATGTTATCTTTCCTAAAATATCCTTGTTAATCTAGTGTATTGACTAGAACTACGGTTGTTAGAAGGACTATCTTAGAAAAAAATACATAAATGTTAGAGATAAAGTGGATTGAGGTCTTATATTTAGGATCAAAATAAAAGTCAAACAATGTCTTATATTAAGGACCGGAGGTAGTATTATAAGTCTAGAATCGAAGAAATCTCTATATTTTGCAGGAGGAATATCAATGATGACATTTTCAACAGCTATTTGATGATAGAATGAGCATGGGTGCTTATCACAGCGATGAGCATCTTAAGCTTATCAATTCTAGACTATTCAAATCTCGTTTTTATTTTTATTTTTTAAATAATTATTGTAATGGATATAAAATCTAAGATGAAGATAATCTTTTAATTATCGTTTTTTAATTACAAATTTTAAATTTTGGATGGTCATCTAAATGGGTCCATGACCCTGGTGGGTCAAAAAATCAGCACAGCAGTTAGCTTCTCTAACATGAGGCTGAATATAATAATCTAATAGTGCATTAGAAGAGTTGTTGAGGGATAATTCGGTATCAGATTGTTGTTTGAGATGTAAAGTTTCCAAAGATATTAAATTTT